GCTTTCCCTGACGTGATCCTCTTGCTCTGAACTAGACTCCTGACCCGGATTGTAAAGAGGACTCCTGCTGACAGAAGTGAGACCTCCTGTCTGGTCTGAGGAAGAGTCAGTGATCGCAGAGGCGGGTAGGGAGATGGAAGAGCCGGCATAAACGGATCTGTTCATGGGTTTTACGGAGATCCTCCAGCTGTTTATCCTCCTGAAGTTTTCAACCGGATCATCACAGGTGAGCAGCTCTTGGTGGTCACCATCTTGAACTTCAATTTCCGTTCCATTGCCTGATTCCTCCGATCTGGCATCGCATTCCTTTTCAAGGTAACGAAAGCTTGAGATGTCCATAGCAGGAACATTTTCTAACTCATCCAAATCATCTTGAACTTCAGTTGGTGACCTCAATTTCCGCATCTCATTTCTTTGCGGTTCTAACAGGCCTGCCTTGATCACTACGCTAGGAGGACCCAGAGAGCCGAAAGTGAGCCTTGAAGCCGAAGAAGTGTAGGCCCCTTCCTCCTCCTCTTCACCTTTTGCGGGACGTTGGAAAGAGGGATCTTCTCGTATTGAAACGAGTCCCATCATCGCCAACTCGTAGAAACTTGATCCCTCTCCTTGAGCCAGGGTTTCACGTTGAAAAAGTTTCCCCTCCTCCGACTCGCTGACGGTGACCGTCTTCTCCCTTTCCATCGCAGCACTCTCAAATCTCGGTGGTTCTGACCCGACCACCTCCCCTCGAGAGCTGGATCGGAACTTTCTAGATCCATCCTCAGAGGTCCCCCTCTCCAGTCCGAAAGCAGAGGCTAGTGGCTGCTTCTCACCGGAAGGAGCCTTCGAATCTACTGGGAAACCATTCAAGATATTCTCCGAAAGTCCCTTGACCTCGCCTTGCTCGACCACCATAAGGTCCGCATCTGTCCTTGACTCCAAGCCTGCAGTCTTTTTCTTCTTCTTCCTCTTTTCTCTCCTCTCGGAACTTCTCCTTCCGACAGCGATTGGAGCTTGCTGACATTCGAAGAGAGCTTCCTCCTCCTCCTTGCCAGCCTTGAATTTCGCCAAAGATCTGTTACCGGACCTCGGACGGCTTTGATTCTTAGAAATCAGGTTCTCGAGTTCAGCTTGAAGCTCAAGAGGATCAAGCTTGGACTTTTGAAACCTTTCCTCCATGGATTTTGAAGATGTCTGCGGAAGGACGTGAGTCAAAGCCGCTGGAGGTGGGAAGGGGAAGCTCTGAATACCGCTGAGTCCCAATCCAGAGTTGGATTTCTCTTCCTGGATTCTATCTTTGATAGGTTTGTTCCAAGTCTGAGTTGAAGGAACCCTTCCATCGGAGGAAGAAGCGACTTCCTTCCCTTTCCCTTTGCCGATTCCTCCGGCAGCCAAAGCGAAACATGATTCCCGTCCGGGAGGACACTCAGGGGGATGTTCATCGGTTCCATCACCCTTCACGCTCTCGACCGTAGCTGGTAGGGGCTTGAACCTTGAACGAGCTCGAGCTCCGAACGCCTCATCTTTCGGTTCGACTTGGCTTCCCCTCCCCTCCTGTGACACTTCGGATCGGTGGCTGTGAACTTTTCCCGAGGGTTCAGTCTTCAAAGGAAGTCTCCCTACCAAATCAAGTGACGATCGAGTCGAATCCATCCTTGCACTTTCCACATCTCCATCTTTTCCCCTCGCGGGAGACCGCTCTTCCAACGAAATGGAAGGCAGGGATTTTCCTCTCCCGATCTCTCCAGAATTGATCCGCCTAACCAGGCGAGGACCTTGAACGCCGACACTTGGGCTCCGATCGAACCTTCCGTCACAGAATTCCGAGTCCAAGATCCTTGAAAGTTTCTCTTGCAACTGGAACGTGGAAGGGGGCGAGAGATTCGATTCCTGCGAAGAGGATACCAAGGTTCTTTCACAAGTTCCGATGGGGCCCTTCCTTTCTTCCGATGGAGGCATTCCTCTTGCGTGCTCCTTTAGGACGGTCAATTCATTTGATCGCTGACGGTGGAAAGATGGAGAGAAAAGAGTGGAGAGAGGGAAACGGGCTCTGTTTCTTGCAATTTCGCAGTGTGAAGAGCGGGGGTTAAGGATCGCGGGGATGAAGGGGCTGGGAGGAACTCACCATTACCCACTCATTGTACTTGGTCTCGGCGTTCCTCCTCACCTCGCCCCAATCGGACCCTTCCAATTTATCACGGCCAAGGTTCGTATTTGCACCGCTATCGACGACGTTCTTGACGATTTGAGGAGAGGGAGGCGCGACGAGACCTTGGGCAGGTCTCGAGGTCAAATTCCTAGGAGGACATCTGTTGACATCGCTGTCATCCATCTCCACGAATCGATTGGGAGGATGATGTTCAGTAACCCCACTGTTCTGCTTGGAATTTGAGACCACCCTCCTCCTCTCCTCGAAAGCTACGTCGCTATCCGAGCCTCTCTCCCATTTTGGAGGAGGCTTTCTGGTTATGGTCGTCTGACGAATCGGTCTCGTATCGACTTTGAAGTCGTTCGATCTTCCTCCATGTTGGGCGGCATCGAGGGAAGGTTTGGGAAATCGAAGTTGAAAGAGGCCAAAGTCGATTTCAGGGTTTTCGGAGTCAGCTCTCGTTTGCCCCTTGAATTGAAATTCCCGCTCTACTTCCTTGTCGAATCTTGGCTCCATCGGCATCGGAACGGTTGGAGGGTCGTACTTTGGCTCGTTTTGACGAGTACCTTGATCTGACTTGTCAATCCCTTTGGTTTTTTCCTTCCTGGAGAGCGAGGGCATCCTGAAAGGGATCTTGAGGTTCAACCTTCCAACTGGGCCGTTCAAGTTGAGATTTGGCGTGAGCAGGGCGGCCGACTCTGGAGGAGGCTTTCTACCTCCCTGCTCTTGGCCACCGAGCGAAACCTTTGCCGAATCTGGATCCTTTACCGATCCAACTTTTTGCTCTCGAGCGTTTCGCTCAGACGTGATGGAGGCCTGAGGGTCCTCGAAGGAGCTGGTCTCCTTGCCGCCGCTACTTGCTTCAAGAGCCAAGTCGTGAGCGGAGAATGATACCTTCGATTCTTGCTTGGCTACCACCCCAAGCCTATTGAGGAGACGGCTGAGCTTGAACTTTTCCTCGTCTTCCTCTTTCTCCTCCTCCTTCTCCCTCTCCTCCTCCCCCTTGCTTCTACCGACCAAGGCGGGCTGGTCGACTGGCGCTGTGGAAACCTGCTCATTTGTAGTTCCTGACCACAGGGCGACATCCACCTCTCCCAAAGCCTCTTTCAATTTCGTCGCGCCGGTCGGTTCGTCCCGGATCCTGTTCGGAACTTTCTTCTCGTAGAAGGGCTGTTGCCCTTTCGTCTGACCTTGTTGATTCCAAGGTCGCTTCCCACCGGCTCCGATAGTTGGAAGGAAAGCCAATCGTCGGTCCGGCAGGATTTGATCGGTTGGGTCTGGAGTGGTTTCGTCGAAGTGTCGCTTGGACCTTTGATCCACTTCAGTCAGGGAGCGAGGTAATACAGGAGGTGGGAGGATATGAGGGGAATATCGATTCTGATGATGATCCTGATGATGGATGTGGGGGTGATCATTGTCACTGACGGGGTAGGGGGGAGAGATCATTGGCTGTGGTGGGAGGATGAAGCTTGTGTTGCTGACTTGAGGAGAGTAAGTGTAGCCTCCTGGGAAACTTTGCAAGGGAGAAGCTTTGGAAAGATCTACCTTTCCAACACCATGAGGGGGGACGTCGTTCGGGAGCCGTACAACTTGTCCCGGGCTTGGCCCCTTGACCGGAAAAGATGGTGATAGAGGGGGAGGATGATGAGGAAGATGATGGGGAGACCTTTCCATCGCCAGTAGAAGATTCGGATCAAGAGGGTGCCAAGGTTTCGGCCAAGGTGTAAGGGACGGACTGTTCGAGCCGTAGATAGCTTGTGCTTCCGAATGACCCCTCCTGGGTGGACCGACCTCCCTGAACATTTTTCGTACAAGGGAAAGGTTTGCTCGTTTGGCCTTGCCGCTGTCGTTCATCTGGTTTTGTTCGCCAGTTGCGGAGAGGGTGAGGTTTGAAGTTTTGGTTTTTTTTTTTTTTTTTTCTTTCTTCTTTCTTTCTCCTTTTCGCTTCTTTTTCTTAATCGTGTACTTGGGTTGAGAGATGTGAAGCTGCAAAACACGCCAACTTGTGTCACCTTTTTCTCTTCCTTTTTCCTGTTCCTTCTTATTGATGGTGGTAAGAAATGAACCTTGCAAACTGGGAAGAACCAAAAACCATTTCTGCGGTCACCTCGCCTCGAAGGCGTAAAAAGCTTTTGGTGGTGGGGAAGGAGGAACGATAGATGCGGAGCAACGGAGCAGAAGGGGTCGGAATCGATAGTACACCTCATCAAATGACAACCCGATGGCTGAAATCCTCTCCTCCCTTTGTCGGGGAAGGTTGCTCAAGGAAAAGGAAGGGGGGGATGGGGAGAAAATTTCCTATCCTTTGCGCCACATGCCTCCCACCTTTCCTTACTCAGTTGAAACCCACCTCCCACAAAGTGTTTTTTTTCTTCGACCTCCTTCCGACTCCAGAAGTAGAAAGGTGAAAACCAGAACGCCTCTTCCTCTCTCTCTCTCTCTCTCTCATTTCGCAGGTTGACCCTTGAATCGCAAAGTCCGAATCCGTCCCCAAGCCCAATGAAATGAACCGGAGGAACTTTTTCCATCCTTCAACGTGGGTCTCCCGAAGCGAGAGGGGGGTCGAAAGTTAACCTCGATTCCCGCTCTACCGTGTGAATCGGAATTCGCCTTCAGAAACTCCCACCACCCACAACTTATTTGCCGCCACTAGCTTTTTCTTCTCTTTTTTCTTCTTTTCTTTCACTTTTTGTTTTTGTTTTTTTTTTTTTTTCTGACAAAAATGGGAAAATGCGGAGGACCTTCAGGCGTGGCGACGACGGAAGGCGACACACCCATTTCCAACACCCAAGGGTCGGGGGAGGTGGAGGAACTTAAAAGTCGAAGAAACAGTGAACCATAGTAAGACTTGGACAAAATGGAATAAAAAGTACGACGATCACAGGATTCGAACCTGTGCTCCCAGGGGGAAATTGATAGTTGAACGAGAGATTGTAAGTGGACACCGGATGATGTGACGTTGGATTCAAGTCAATCGCATTAGACCACTCTGCCAGATCGCCGGCATGCCCCATTAAAGGTAATTTTGACACTCTTGATGACCCGCAAGATCCTCTTGCAAAAGTAGCTAGGATGTACCCCCAAGGGTCTTTCCAAGAGAACGTGGAAGAAAAGGACTAAGAACCTAGGAGAGGGAAGGAAGAAGAGTGAAGTTCACCCTTCGAGAAAAGAATTGGATTACTTCCTATGAGCAGGAGCGGCACAGGAACGAAAAAGGTAGAGGGGATGAGAACAAAATCCGAGGAGAATGGAATTCGGTCCCGAAGGGTTTAAGATGCTAAGCAAGATTGGACTTCGCAGTGGAAGGAAGGAAGAAAAGAAGATGGTAAACAGGAAAGAGTGGGGATCTTATCTGAGCAAGAAAAAAAAAAAAAAGGTGGGGGTCGAAGAAAGAAGACCAAGAGACCAAATTAATAATATTTTTTTTTCTTCCCCATCGCAGTGGGGTAACGGGACAGAGGATGCGTCAAGCTTGCTTGCAAAATTCGTAACGTGAAACCAGAGGTAATCAAAAGAAAAGAAAAAAAAAGGGATAGGGAAAGCCTGTTCAACCTGCCTTCTTCTTTTCTTGTTCTTGTTCTTTTCTTTTTTTCTTTTCTTTTCCGGGTCTTCTTGTTTTCCCTCCCTTTTCCTTGTCGTTGAGGAAGGTTAAAGACCCGGGAGGAAAAGGGATGGGGGTGGGGGGATCGGGACAGTAGGACACAGAATTACAGGACCAGGGGCAACATAAGCCTAGAGCAGATGGACGAATGGATGGATGGGGCGAAAATCAAGAACGGATGCAAAGGGCTTTGACACGGAGCTGGGACAGTGGCGGAAGGGGAAGGGGACATGGGAAGAGAGGTGTGGTGAGTGTGTGTTTGTGTGTGTTTGTGTTTTTCAAAGAAAGGTTGACAAGGCTTTGGGAAGTATGGTTCAACTATAAAGCGCAGCTCCCATCCTCCGGCTCGAGCCATGGGTCAGTGGGGACGATGGCGGATCCCTGGCGCTGTGCACGTTCCCTGGAACGCTACCAGGAGGACCCACGGACGAGTTCGGGTTGATCCGTTCCGAGTACCTGTGCGGTTGCGGCTGCGAGTGGGTTCTCGAGTGGCTGTGGCTAGGCCCTTGATGAGGTGATCCTCCCAAGGAGTGAGGGTGGCTTTGGACGGCATTGGGGTGAGGCAGCGGGTATGGGTGGCGAGAGGTCAAGGGCGAGGGCGGGTAGTATGCCGCTCTGTGGTGCGGTGGCAAAGGGGATTGGTGCGTGTAGGGGCTCATGCCTCCACCAGTGACACCGCCGGCTGCAACACCGCCTCGGCCATCGACAATGGGCGAGCTGGACATGAGTGGAGAGCTGAGCTCGTTTCCCGAGGCTGAGGAACGGTACGAGGTGTAGGCCCCACCGTAAGGACCCTCGTACACTCTTCTGCCGGGATGCATGCCATCTTCACCGGATCGGCCGGGTTCTGATCCCTCGCTGAGACCCCTGGGAAAGGACTCCCTCCCATCGTCGTTCGGCAGGGCCTTGCTGTGGTGCGAGTTGGCTCGGCTCCGTACCGAAGGGACCACCTGGATATGATCATGGTACGTGCGCTCGCTCTCGTCTTCGTTGCCCTCGCCGTCGTCCCCATCTTCACCCTCACCGTCGTGGTGATCGCTGTTCGAGTTCAAGCTGGCGCTGGCCTCGGCCTGCGCTTGTGCCTTGGCGGCTGCTTCCTTCCTCCTCATCAGCAAGTACCTTTGTCTGCACTGATGGTACGACCTAGTTCCGACGGCCCTCGAGATCAGCTCCCAGCGTTGGCCATGCTCCTTGATCGCCGCCCTGAGCTTGGTGTCCTCGTCCGAAGTCCATCGGACGTAAGGCAGGCGCTTCTCTGGGTTCTGGTTACCCCCGAACGACTTGTGGTTCTCCGAGCCGGCACCTGGTCCGTTGCTAGAGGATCCGAGCTTACCCTTTGAGCCGCCAGAGCCTGTTCCGGAGCCTCCTTTACCAGCACCTCTGGCAGGGCTCTTGGCATTTGACCTCGAGCCGTTCAACTTGGTCTCGTACGGCTTTGATGGGGTTTTCGCTTTGGCTCCGGCTCTCTCCTCGTCCATCTGCATCGCTTCTTCTTCACTCGTCGAAGGCTCCCCGACACCGACAGGGCTCACTCCCTCGTGCGGGCCGTAGGACCTCTCGCTCCCCTGGCTGGGATTCTGGCTAGCGGCAGCTTGATCAGCGAGAAGGTCCAAAGCGCTGAGGCCCGAGCTCGCCAGGACGCTGGTTGCCTGGCTGCTCTCACCGAAGTCTCCGGAGTCTCTCGGAGCCACGCCGAACGGCTCAGCGCCTTCGGTCCGTGTTCGTCCCCGAGGTGTCCGCCTGTCTGGAGAGTAGGGCGGGCCGAAAGGCTCAAAGTCCAGCGCTGTGCTCGACACCCTGCGTCTCTTCGGACTCTCGAAGGGAAGAGCCGCGGCATCAGGGACGTGAGGGTGGAAATGCGAACGTGGGTCGTTGAAGTCCGCGCTGTACTGGTGAGCCAAATGCTTTGAATAATAGGGGTCCTGGCCATAGGCCGACCTCTGACTTGGTCCAGACCTTGCACCAGGCGGAGAAGACCCTGGGCCGGTGAGGGATTTGGCTGCCTGGAGTAGCTCGTCGATGCCGGTGAAGGACGAGCCCGACAAGCTGCTGTCGACTCGGCCGTGTTGCGGACTCCACCTGCCAACCTCTTCGACGCTCGAACCGGTTGCTGGGTTGGCGCTCTTGTTGGCCGAGGTCCTTGGATGACCCCTTGCACCAGTCCTCGGCGTGGACGGAACGCTGCCTCCCGTCCTTGGCGTTCGGGGAGCCCGCTCGACATGCTTCGAAGGCGGGGTTCGTGGAACCGCGGTGATGGTGACATCCCCCTCGTGGGCGGAGGCGAAGGGGTCATCAGCGGCCTGCCTTTTGACCGGTGAGCGAGGGTTTGGTGACCGTTCGCCTTCTTTGGAAACCGTCGAGGAAGTCGAGGCGACGGCAGCGGCGGCAGTAGCAGCAGCGATGGCGGTTTTGGAAGCTGCCGAAGCAGCCGCGGCCTCCTTTCTCATCTCCCTCAGTCTTCTAGCAGCCAGCATCAAGTGCTCGGTCTCGGCATCGCCCATCGTCACCCCCCTCTTGCGCCTGCTCTTTTCCTTGCGGCCACCAGAGCGTCCCGGGGTGGTCGGGGCAGTAACGGTGCCCGAGCTTGGCGCAGACGCGGACGCTTCCGGGGCGGTGACTGACGGGCTCGGTTCTATATTGGAATTGGCATTCTCAAGCTTGATACCGCCGCTGATCAGGTATGGGCGCATCAACTTGAGCTCGTTTTCCAGGCGCTGGATCTGAGCTTCAGCGTCGCGGATCCTGCCTCGCAGGTAGCGCTTGTCTGCGGCGAGCTTGTTCCTCTCTCGGATGATGGAGGACATGGGAGAGTCCTCGAGGTCCATCTCCGTAGCGGCCACGTTGAGGATTCCAAGTCCTGTGACGGTATCGGCGACCTGTTGAGCAGGAGCGTCTTGGGACGCTGAATCCGACGCTCTTTGGCCATCTCTGCGAGGGATGCTTGTCCGGTCGTTTTCGTCCGGATTTGGCGAAGACCGCGGCGGGGTAGAGAGGTCGAGGGCTTCCTGAAGGACGGAGGCAGAGTCGAGCGCCTTGCCGCTCAAGGATGGTGCACGCGAGATCTGGGGCGGAAGCGAACGTGAGGTGTGGATGGAAGGCCTCTCGATTAGGGTTATATGCCGTTCGTCGTAACCTCGCGCCTCTGCGCGGCTCAGCATTGAGCTCAGCATCCTGGCTTGCGACTTCCAACCTGCGAGGTCTGCCTCTACCCTTTCCCTCGCCGAGGCCTCGGCCTGGAGGGCGTGGGCGTGAGTTGTTTTGAGGGACGAGATGATGGACAACGCGGTCAGACGGTTGGTCCGAAGGTTGGCCTCGGCACGGGTTTTCGACTCCTCGAGCTTCTTGGTGTGGCTTGCAAGAGCCATTATCATCTCGCCGAGCTCTTTCTCCCTGGTAGAGTGCGATTGGGTAGCTTGATTTTTGCCATCTGTCAAACCCATTTCGGAGAGTCGACTGAGTAGTGAGTCTACGTCAACCTCGGCAGCCTTCTTTTCCTCCTCGAGAGGATTCGCTGGATCCCCACAGGAGGACGGATCGGATGCAATGCGGTCTACATCTGGCTCGTCGCCGAAGACCAGCAGCTCGATCTGCTCCTTGGTCGGGCCCAAGCCCAGACCCAGCGAGGGGAAGGAGAGATGCCCAATGCCGCTCGTGAGCTCGGCCAAGGCCGATGCGTTCGAAGCCTCCTTTTTGGGCGAGTCAAGCTCGAGCGAAGTTGGCAAGCCTGAGCTTGGAAAAGCGGGCCCAAGGATGGGTGAAGGGGTGGTGGAGCGATCCGGCGATCTCGACCTTGTTCGGCGTGTCGATGGTCCTGCCCTTGACGGCCTCGAAGCTTGGGAAGCGGCCGACCTGATGATGGCTTGCCTTTCGGCGCTGGCCGACCTCGAATCGGTGCTCGAGGGATCGAGGGCCAGGATCTTGCCAAGCTGGTGGTTTGCACTGCCGGCGACGATGGCTGACGACGAGGAGGAACATGAGAGATGCTGGTGGGAGAGACCAGCGCTGAGCCTTCCAGCTGCCCGCCGGGGAGCCATTTTTTCAGTAACCAGGGTGGTTGGGCTCGCATCCTGCGAGTGGTTTTCCGAGGCCAGGTGTGGGCGAGAGGATACCGAAGCTTGGGAAGAAGAGGGGGGAAAGGACCTGAGATCGATGTGTGAGGTGGGGGGAGTTGGCAGGGCGTCCTGATGCTGAGGAGGGGTCGTGGGACTCTGTTGCTGCTGAGATGGGGCTTTGGACAGCATTTGCGGGTTGGAGCTGGGTGTCGAGTGGCCAAGTGTACCTGGAAAGGACTCGACGGGGTTGGACCTCGGCGTATCTTGATCGCAATCTTGATCCATTTTGAGTAGATGAATGGAAAAGGGAAGGGGAGGGGAGAGAGAGGGGGGGGGGGGGGGGGGGAGG